AGATCGCATCCTTTGGACGGATGAAGCCACATTTCAAATAAATGGTCATGTCAACAGACACAATTGTGTTTATTGGAGTGATACGAATCCACATCTTATCATCGAACAAGAGCTCAATGTACCACAAGCGATTGTTTGGGGAGGAATATGGTCAAATGGTGTTGTTGGACCATTATTTTTGACGGTAATGTTACATCACAAACTTACCTTCAGATGTTGAAGGACCATATCACACCACAACTTGAAGAACATTCAGCTTTTCAAACAATGATCTGGCAGCAACACGGTGCGCCACCTCATTATGGTCAAATTGTGCGAGATTATTTAGATGATATATTTGTAGATTGGATTGGATGTCGAGGAACCGTTGAATGGCCACCACGATCTCCAGATTTAACTCCATGCGATTTCTCATTGTGAGGGATTATGAAAGATCGTGTATATGCTCAAAGTCCTCGTGATGTAAATCATCTGAAGTCATTAATCAAACAAGAATTTACATCTCTCAATGATAATATTGAACTATGCCAAACAATTTGTCGATCTGTAGCTGATCGTTGTCAAATGTATATTAACGCCGAAGGAAAACAATTTGAACATGTACGCTAAAGAATTGTTCCATTTTGTTTTGAAGAATATAAACAAAAATATTGATTAGGTATTCTGATGTTCTTTTCTTTTCTTCTCAATAAATAACCGTAAGATGTATTTGATAATAAACAAAAGAAACATGAATGAGAATTTACATTTTGTCTTGAAAAACTGTCTTTTCTTTATCATATATTGGTTTTTCCTACCTGTGAAAAACTAAAATTTTTTTTTATTGAGGTCAATAGTAGTACTTAATAAAGGGTCTCTCTAAGCATTTCATTATGGATATATACTTTGAACACGCCTCTATCATTGATAAAAAAATCAGCTCGTTTGACAGAAGTTCTAATGGAAATATCCGATTTTTTTTGGTAAACCGACTTTTGCGCCACCCTGTATATTCGCATGAACTATTTCAAGTTCAATCAAAATAAAACTGCCAGATTTATCAATTAACTTAGATTTCAAAGAGTTACGGGTTGAAAAGGTATGACACCTCCGAATTTGTTTGTACTTTTTTGGCTATGTCAACAACAGCCATCAATATATAGAAGTTTATCAATAAGTGATCTAATTTCAGTCAATATTACTATCTTTGAAAAGTATGTATTTAAGATCTAGTCAATCTCTGACAAATATATACTTAAATACTCACATTGATTCTTGACGTAGGTTACTTCTTTTTAACAAAACTTTTGTTCAGTTTCTGCACAATGAAGTTTATGAACACTTTCGAAGATGTCTCTTTCAAATGTACATTTTGATTTTCGAACTGTCAGTTATTGTTCTCCATATCATACAGTTGTTGTTAATTGTACATCTTTCAGAGAGTGAGTCGAATCATTCTGTAGATTTTCGTGATGATTATGAATGTTCACATTGACAATAGAACATGTTGTTTATTAATTCATTATCGATTTAACTGAATTTGAAGGCTTACACTATTTTGACAGTTTTCGTTGAATAAAAAATATGAAACCAAAAATAACCTTTTTCTAGAATGATATTTGAAAGGTAGAGAAATCATTTGAGCATGAATATTCTTAATAGAATTCTCTCGTCATTCAACGATACGAAAAATATTCAAGTTTTAGTCGTCGTCAAAACAAGACCACTCATTCGAACTTCATTCATACGACGTGATAGTTGAGTGAACAATTGAAAATACCTTTCGAAAGAGAAGATCTAAATTCAAATTTAGCCGTCTCAACGTCATTTGTATATTAGAATTGACCCCTTGTCAATGTTTGTACTTTTTATATTGTTTTCCATGAGATCGAACTGGAACACTTTGCCAGTATCGTGCTAGTAGATTAAAAATCTATGAAATAGTTAAAAAGAGCAAGTTCTTTTCGAATGCCACTGTTTCATATAATTTGAACAATAATGTGATCGAAAACAGGAGGAGTAATGAAGATAGGAAATAAAGAATTCTACTTTTTCAAAACTCCATCACCTTCATCCGTTACATACCCATATCGTTCAAACAATGTACGGTAGTAAAGGATTGAGCATTGAAAATTTCACATCATTTTTCGAGCGATCGATTCTTTTGGCTTTGAAGCATTTCTATAATGAAATGTTCATAAGTGTTCATAATCATTTGTTTTTTTGTTGCACATCGCACAGGGAACAGGATATTATGGTTGATGAGATCTTCGAAAATTTGAAACACACTGATCAAACCTACGAAGAGAATCACCACCAACACTGTGTCAATGACTTTGAATGCAAAAAACTTCATCTTGTTCGAGATCTCATATGATGAAAACGTCAATTTTAACTATAAACTTTCCTTCAAGACAAGGAAACCAGATAATTTGTTCTTTCATCGAAAGGAATTTCATTATACAAATAATTGCTCTAGGAAAAAAAATCACGTTGCATCAAGATCAATTCTGAACTCCTCTTGTGCATTGAAATCAATAGTGAATTTTTGTACTCGACGATTTCCCCAATCGACAACATAGATATTCCCGTGTCGATCGAATGACAAACCGATGGGTCTATTGAGTTGGTTTGATTGTTCTCCTCTACCGTTTCCACCAACAATGACACTTCCTTGTGT